TAATAATCCTCAGAAATGAAGATATCATTGATCATCTTCGGATACGTACTCATCAGTTTAATCGCCAACGTATTATGCACCGCACTTCCTTGCAGCAAACAAATACCCACTAAATTCTCACCCATTGTTCCACGCTCATCCAATTTCCAAACCACTTCTCGATACTTCGAATCGCCTTGACCACCCCTCCCTCCGCCATCCAACAATTTCAGTGCTGCATTTTTAATGATTTTCATTATCATTGCTATATGTTACTGCTTCAATAAGTAAAAAGTAATGAAGATACTAGTAACAATGGCAGTAACAGTAGCAATAATATTGATAATAATGACAATACTAATAACAATAATAATAATGATAGTAATAATGATAATGACAGTATTAAAAATAATAATAATGACAATGATAATAGCAAAAATGATAATAATAATAGCAAATCGAACCCTTTTTTAAATCGCCTTGATTTTCACCTTCTTGATTGAAGTCGTCTAGAATGTTCGGACCACTTTTACCTTTACCCTTCTTTCTTTTCAAAGCACTCAACATCGCGTTTCGTTCCTTGTTCCGAATCTTCACCAATTCAGCTACACTCACCATTTTACCTTTGCCCGAATTGTACATCAACTCTTTCACCTGAGTATTTATCTTTATCGTTATCCGTATCACCATCAGTCACATCACTATCACTCATCTATAAGACAATAACCTTGGTCTCGATGAATTCATCAATAATCGAGTAATCGCCACTGTTCTTTGCATACCTCATCCACGGTACCAACTCGCCCCCTCCGTGCATATCCACCAACCTGTACAACTTGTACTTATTACTTTCATCTCCAGCCTTGCCCATCCCTCCAAGTCCTTGATTCTCATTCGATTCACTGTTGCCCATTTATTCATTCGCATATGCCACTACTGTAAACACAACAATAATCACCACCAATAATAATAATGATCAAAGTAATAATAGCAATAATAATAGTATAATGTTATCATTATTATCAATTACATAGCATCTAAAATAATTCTAACTCTGAAATAACCATAGAAAATCACTAAAATCATCACTACAATCAAACTGCTAAATCCAATGATCCATCATACTATTTCAGTGTTTATCAAACAATCGAACTGATGTCTTGTCCAAATCAATTTATCCGACAGATTGGTCGATATTCACCTGACCTTCACATGCTCCCCTTTGGCCATATGGCAGACTGCAGATTCCGTACCCTCGCATTTTGTGTGGTCACCATCCCCTCCCACCTTCTCCTAATCTACTACTTGTAAGCAAAATATGAGAGGAACTAAAAAACAAACAAGTTTACATATCGTTCAAACAATCCTTTTGAAAACGCCATTTAACAGTCGCAGAGTAAATACGAACAAAAAATTGCTCAACATTGCCCTACCAACCTCCTCAATTCGCTCACAATACCTTCAAATTCTCCAGCTGAATGAATTCGCTCCTCTACGAGAATCACCGAAACGAAAACGAATACTAATCTCAAAGTGCTAACAAATAATGAAATCTAGTCAAGATATATACTTCAACTAATAATAAGCAATAGCAGTTATTATATAAGACATAAGACACACCAACTAATCGCATGACAACTGTGAATGAATGACAACGAAATGTGTTTGAGATATATATGTGTGTTGATAATTCAAAAAAGAAGTAATCAACACAATTTACTCGAAAATATTCTCATGCTAAGCGAATTGACGTCTTATGATTAGCACAATACCATATTCAGTTCAATTATGAAACGATATCACTAGGCAACCAACGACCTATTAAATTATTCATTACTTCTTTTTACCTTTGATGATTTCGTTTATCCCATTTACCGTAATTTGTATTCATCTATCGATCATTCTTTTACGTGTTCTTCGAATGTCATATGGCATTATCATGTTAGCTCGGATTGTATCACTTCTGCGAATACTGATATATTATATAGGCACATCACTGTAGCAAATATCAATATTAATCATAAGAATAATATTATTGAGTGGTATACAACAATAAGATTATTATTTAATAACATGGCATAATAATTATTATCATATTAATAATAAAAAATACTGTAAAATATTGAGAAGATTCAAAAGAAAAGATATTTAGATGAAACGACGGTACTGAAGAATGAAAAAAGCTGTTTGTAACAAGTACACTCACTTGCAAAGAACGTACGTAATCCCTCAGATTATGTAATCACTAGCGAAATAATATAAAGTGTGAGATTATATGTAACATTGCATGTAACAAAGTGATTAATGCTAAACAAATGAACGCAGATACGGAATGATCTGATGGAAATAAATTTGATGAATCAGAATCAAAATTGTTCTGTATGAACAATGTTCTTAAGGTTTATGAGGGTGATAACGATAGTGATAATAATGCTGATGATAACGGTAACCGATAGTGATAACAATTCTAATCTGGTGATGTGATTGCATCAGTTTCTAAGGTGACGTATCAGATGATAACAAACTGAAGAAATTATGTGAATGATCGAAGTGCAGAAACACTCAAACAGGCGATTATGATTTCACATTCGATTTATAATGTACAGTATTCATCAATGATTACGATTAAGTTAGAACTTACCATTATTATAACTATCATATTCACTGCCATTAATATTATCGTTATGATATTATTATTCTCATTTTCATTATTACCGTTTTACCAATATTAACATTATTATAACTATTGTTATTATTAATATTATCATTATTAATATTCCTATTGCTACTATTGATACCAATATTTAAAGAGGCATTCACAAAATGAGATAATTTCATGCTGGCATGCAAATGTTATGATGAGAGGAATCAGTTCAGTGAATTCAAAATTCAGCTAAAAAAATTCAATTCATTCATTAGATTGAACTAATGATCGGTTATATTTGAATATATATTCTTCTAACGATTCACAATTTCATATATTCATTTATTTATTCAGTCTATATGCTCATCTGTAATGCGTGAGTATCGTATCGCACTTATGAGAATAAATAAACCGATTGCTGCTATATATTAAATGTGAATTGTTCATACAGTGAAGCATAGCAATAATAATGACAGTAATAATAATAGTAGCAGTAATAATAATAATAAATAACAATACTAATGATAATAGCAACATATAGCAACAATAATAGCGATGTAAAATGAATAAAAAGTCAACAGTTTAAGTAACCACTAAAACAAACAGTATAATGCAAATTATCCAATGCTTATCTAACCGATCAATTATAGTTATATTATATAAATATAGTTGTCGAGTGCAAGTCTTGAACGATTGCATTTAGCTTAATATTGATAGATACTGTTTGAATTACTCGCTTTAATTAGCATTTGGTGTGCAATTCAACCATAGCATCGTTATATACTCTTTTTGTTGCTGTTCTTGTCATTATTATTATTGCTATTATTATTGTTATTATTATTGTCATTATTATTATCATTATTGAGATTATTATCGCTATNTTCATTATAATTGCTATCATTATTATCATGAAAGTGATAATGATTATTATTTTACACTGCTATTATTATTACTGCTATAAGATACAGTCTTCAACACGTTCATGATATTGTGATAAAAAACGTCCATGATATTACAGCAAATGCTATCAAAATAATGATCGCTAAAATCAATTTCGTACGAATTGGAATAAATTGTACTGAGCAATGTTGTAATAACTTTATAAAAATGTGTTATTGCTTGAATCCTCATTGTTATATGGGTATATTGTTATGCCTTTTTGAGATGGTCAAAACAGTAGTAGTGACAATATTTCTTGACATGACCTTTATAAACAGATTATTGAATTGCTCAAAATTATATTGCTTTGAATTCATTCGGTATTGTTACCATACAAATTCCATTATATACTCGCAAATAAAATGCATTTATAACACTGACGGATTATGCTTGAAACGCTTAGAATACTAATGTTATCGTTTGTTCGAATCTTACAAAACGTTATCAATGCAAGCCTTGCTCTCATCTTTAGATACCACGATAATAGTAAATTCGAATATACTTTTTTCCAAAATATAACAACCGGATATATAAATA